TGCAACGAACTTAAAGCTCGAACAAAGGAGCAACAGTGGACAGGTGCAACGAACTTAAAGCTCGAACAAAGGAGCAACAGTTTACAGTGGCGTACTCCGACATAGAGGAGCAACAGTTTACAGTGGCGTACTCCGACATAGCCGACTGGCCAAGAATCGAAACCGTTGCTGAGTTTAGACTACGTACCGGGCACAATTGTCTTGCCATGCACCTTCACAGATTGGGAGTATACACTCAACCCACATGCCCTCTATGTAACCTACGGGAGGAAATGGAGAAGACCCACCTGATTCGGTGTCCAGCCTTAAAGACAACGACGGAAAGCCAATGATACTGAGAAGCAAGAAGACAGGTGATGAACTGCTATTGATTAATCGCTATAAATGTACCCCCCCCCCCCCCCCCCACCCATTGGGAAGATAAAGTCAATGTTTAAGGACTAATGACAAATATCATTAAGCCTGCCATTTGAAATAAAAAGAATAAATAAAGTTTATAAACTGACAGTTGAATTCTCACTTCAAACTACCATGATCTCTATGTATGTCATATTCCTTCGCTTCCACAGTGCTCATCTGAACTTTTTCTATTCCTTTGTCTGTCACTTTTACATCTGCGAATCACTCTTCTGTTCCCCATCTTCTCGACTTTTTGTGTCTGTTGTTCCTCCCCACTATGAAGCCCGATGTCAACTAAAGGGCTAATTATAACTATTATAAAGCCTGCCATTTGATTAAATAAATAAATAAATGACGCGTCTAGTTTTGGCAATGGAGGGTAAATTTCGCGTTTATATAGCACTTCTTGCCCTCCCCCCCCCCCCAACAAGGCGTCCTTTAATTTTACAAACGACGCCTTAAATTTTATTTATTTAATTGAAAGTTTTTGTTTCCATAATAGTAATAATAGTAATAATTTTGGAAAGTGTTGTTCAACAATCATCTTGGAAATGGGGTGGAGTCTAGTGAAGTTTCTGTCAGAGCCTCTATTAACCATGTTTAACCATTGTCATTGGCCTTCCTGTACATGGGACATCCACCAATAGAAGTGATCATTGAGTTATAATTACCATGGATGAGTTCAAAGGGGTCAAATTATATCATCAAATCTCGTATTAATTAGTTTCAAATCGGGGTGTGTGATAGACTTACCTCCACGTGGAGCACCCTGGGCAACGTATAATCATACGGCAAAAAAGTCTATTATTTGGCAGTTGACTTCTGACTTCAAACTATCATGGTCCCACTGTATGTCATATTCGACTACTTTCACAGTACTCATCCCACCTTTTTCCACCTTATCTACCTTCGTCTTTGATACATTCTTCCATCCCCCCCCCCTCTTTAATTTTTTACACTTTGATGTTCCTTCCCCTCTGTGAAGACTGAAGTCAACTAAAGGGTTAATGATAACAATCAAAACGCCTGCCATTTGATATAATAATAATAGTTTCAAATCAGTCTGTTTAAACAAATCGAGATTAAAAATTGAAATAAGGCATTTTAATAAATAAAAAGCAGCGTTGCTATTTAAACCGCAAAATTATGCTATTTGGCTACCTTGAAAAAGTACTTCCGTGTTTAAGGAATTTGGAATTATATGAGTCAAACGATTTTGATTAGTGCTGAGTTATGGCATATTTATTTCTAATATTTTTTAATTTCTAGCTTAATTATATGTTCTATTAGATCCTATGCTTTATCAGGTATTATACTAAAACTATTCAAATGTTACTGATTAATCTTATCTTTGGAAACAGACATAAATTGTGAAAATGAGTTTGGATATCCAGTCAAAAAAGGAAGTCTATGTGCATTATTTTATCTTACTCTTAGTGTGGTTTGTATAAGGAAGTCGGGAAAAAGCGAGATAATTATTCTAATTTTGATTGAAGTAGATATCAAATCAAGGTTCAAAAGAATCAATTGTAATTTGACCCATTTTTAATGTGTACACATCGAATGCCCAATATTTGAATTCAACTAAACATAAATTGGGACAACACTTTCTTCTTAAACTTCTCAGATATCGTTACTTATAGGTAAAGCTCCTCAAATGCCAGGAGAATACTTTTCGATCAAACAAGCATTTTGTTTTAGGAGCTATCTGGCATATTCTTGCATGAACATGGAATCCAAAACATCGATGAATCTTGTTTATTTCATTAGTTTTTTACTGATAACTTCATAGGATGTTCTAGAATGGTTGGCATGATAGATACCAAATCAAACAGAAATTTAAGTTATACCACCTCAGCTAGATGCTTGATTATGTGTGGGATCATTCTGCTTCCCAAACCGTGCACAAAAAGGTGCTCCTGGATCATTAAATGTTCCTGTTTAGAATATCACTACTCATCAAGTAAACATTGTACAATCCTATCCCAAAGAATTTGTTTAAATAGGACACATTGATATCTTGTTGAATTCTTTTGCTATTCATAAGGTTTACCGTAAATTAAGTCACATTGGCATGTCCATTTAAAGCAGTCAAAGACTTCCGAGTTTTATGCCAAGGAAAGCAGTTAAGCAAAGGACAATTAATAAGTCTCACTTTAAAGTACTTTATTGGAGGTCAAGATTCTCTATTGTGGAGGCGAAAACCACCTTTGAAATGGAACTAATAACATGACTTCAGAAGAAATGGCAAATTGGTGCTCATCTCTAAAATGACGATAGTTGATTTGGAAAATTGGTAAAGCCCATTTAGGTTGAGAAATTTACCTTATATTGCCTTTTTACTCTTGAATTCTTAATGTTTTGATCTTGATAGTCTTCGCATCAATCACTGCGTGCATTTCTGCAGAGACCCATTGTCATCTCTGTAACACACTCAACGGATTTTTCGATAATTCTACGATTTCAAAGATATATATTTAAATATTCTAGTTAGTGGAAGCTAAGGCTAATGAATCGTTGGGGCAAACTTTTCAATTTCTTTACTGCAGGCAGTAAGCAACCATTGTTATCAATTGAATATCGAAGGGTTTAGAATGGAATGGCGTATATTTACGAATGGTGTCATGAAAACAGAGTACAAAAAATTCATGAACAAGACAAAGCGATCAAGATACCAAAAGAAACTGACGGATTGAAGGGAGTGTCAAGGCTTAAAGAGGTGATAATATCAGTTTCTGTCCCTTTATTAATAAATTCCTACCACAAAAGTGAAAATTCATGAGAAAAGAAGCAATACCTCGCTCATTATTGGCAAGATGTCTATTGTCCGTATATGACTAGACTAATAAACGTATCAGTATCCGATGCCTCATTCTATAGATGAAAAGGGTACTTAAAACGAAATTTAAGTTGTTGTACGGCTAATAGAATAGAAGATGCGAAAAGCCTTAAACCGTAGACCAGATCTCTCTACCACCTACTCTAACATTACATTTACAGTTATGCATTAACTCGTTCTATTAGTCTACCGAATACACTCTTTATTAATAACTGGGCTATATGGGGGTAGTTTGTTAATGGGACAAATCAATTGAGTTAAGTCGAAGTGTAGCTAAACTGCAAGTGGGCGTTGGTAAGTTTGTGATTAATATTCAGTGATAGCATTTCAATTACTAAGCTGCTCGAAAATATTATTGATATGGATAGGACAATTCAACAATAAAATAGCAGCGAAATAACGTGCACGTGAGAAGGGTAATGTGGAAAAACACCAACTAGCAACAATCGAGATCCAGGCCAATTTTAATAGGAATTTAATTGTTTTTTAAGGTAAACTTGCAGGTCATTGTACTTTTAGTATAGCATGGCAATTAGAAATGTTCCGATCGCGATAGCGTACCCATTTATTTAAAATTTGATTTCAACTTAATGACCTGAAAAAATTAACTAGCAACTATTGTGATCCTGATCAATTTTGAAATGAACTTAATTGTTCATTATGGTAAAAAAGGACTTTTGAATTCATAGTGCAACGTTGGCGGTAAAATGTTTTACCATGTGCACTCATCTGGTAACAATATAAGTTTTAAAACAGGTAACAAAATGGTGGTTTCTTATTAATCTCTTGATATAATAATTAAAATCACTGCTTCGATTATATTTATAATTTTATTTCAGCTAAGTAGCCCAAATTATTGCTATTCCTCTATCAACAACACCAATTTGAAATTATAATGCATCGCAGGTTCACATTCTATCGACTTAAAGAATGGATACAGGCAAATTTAATTAGAACTAACAAACTTGCATTAAGGTACTGAAAGCTCGCATCTACAAACGCGATGTTTTCCTGAGGGCAACTCGCTACAGTATCTTCCTTCCACGCAGATATACTGCATTGTAAATCTTCACAAGATGTGCTTAACCAAATAAAACTAGATTCATGTCTTTTGTTATGTTTTTTATTTTAATTTACCAACCTACTATAGAGTGCTACATTGAATTGCCAAGACTAAAACACCATGGAGATGCTAAATTTATTTTTTTTATAAATATCATGTCACCCTGCAGTAACCCTACACGACAGTGCAATAAAATTTTTTGAAAGTATCATTCGTCACAAAATGTTCACAGCACCACTGGACTCAGGTATAAACTTAAGTGATAGCAAATTGGACACACTTCTGTAAGAAACTAAATTGATAGAGCAAATTAAAATTAGAAGCATTTCTAAGTTGTTTAAATAGGTTTTTCAACCCATATGAAATCAACAGACTCACTGCAGTTGTACCGCAAATGAGCGGCCAGAGGTGCGCACCTTAGAAGTTAAAACAGTCATTGTCAATCAGATGACCTTAAAATAAAGCCGATTCGGCTTACATTCGAACTTATATTAGTTAATTACTGTAGCTCAATAACATATGCAAAGTAGATAATAATTGAAACTGGGTAAAACATTTTAATTTACATAAAACATTCAAGGTAATGACATCGATTACTACGTAACTAAGGTAAATGCGAAATTTTGTAACACGGTTCCATTAATCAGTACCTTTCAATTTCGAGTACCGCGTTAAAGTTGTTGAACCCACCGAAGATAGTTAGTTCTTCTTTTGGATAACTGGCTCCTTCTTTGCCAGAGCAACTTTGCATTGTGTCACCTAAATTAACATTTAAAACGAGCATTAGATCCAAATTTGTTTTGATAAATGTCAAGCACAGGTCGGTTAACAAGAATCATACCGCATTTTTCAGGTCAGAATCACTGAGTAGGACGTTGAGAACGAAGGATGGTTTCATATTAAGGATCATTCCTGTGATTTTAGTAGCAAGAACAGGCTCGCCCTCGGCTATTTTGTTGAAAATTATGTCACCATATACTTGACGCTCAGCCGAAGTTAATTCATTGCTTTCACGCCTCATTCCAGCATCACAACTAAAAGAAGCTTCATGTTGATCAGAAGAAGAAGAAGATGCTGCTCCATGTTGTTCCGCTTCGGGTGTCTGCTCTTCAGGAACGGGATTAGTCGATGCAGGCGTTTCTTGAATTTGCACATTTGGTTGATCGTGGGGATTAGGCTTTAAAAAAGCATAATTTAATGGATATAATATATTAAGTAGTCATTATCATGATTAGAACATACCATATTGTCAGCAGACGTAGGATCAATGGTTTGATGAGGTACTGATTCACCGGCACCCAGCGTTCGATATGTCATGCAAGTCTGTTGGGGCCAATACTGTTGTCCACCAACCACACCAGCTGAAAGACCAGGCATGCAGGTAGTCAGTGGGTTAAGCATCAGTTGTTGGGCACCTACTGATCCTCCGAATGCATGATTTATGGGACGAAAAGAAGTAGACCGGTGACTTTGTCCTAAAATCACAGGCATAGCACCCCTAAGGTAAGGAGAAGCAGCTACGATTCTGGGATATCCTAATTGAATGTGAGATCCAGCAATGCCTTGATTCAATCGTAGATGCGGGCTCATGGATGCATTTGCCGCGTACAAAAGGTGTGAGGTGTTGGGGGGTACTCGGCCACAAACGGTTAGGGGTGCAGAGTAAATGTTGGCAAACTTTTGACGATAGTCTACTCCCTGCTGCTGTTCAGACGTGACCACTTTATCACTGTCTGAACTGGACTTGATCAAGGC